CCGAAACATGTAAGAGTGTTTGTTTGTATTAAAGAAGTTTTACTTCCTATATTTTTGGAATTTGCGTAATTTTATCTTCGCCTGACTCCTATTGTCCTTTTCTTTCAAGTTTTTGTGATCTTTATCTTTTATTCCTTTCTTGTGACATAAAATTTGTTCATTTAGTAAATCTGGAAGCTTGATGATGTGACGTTGAAACATGGTGCACTCGGCTCTGATTCTGCACATAAACATAATGTCTTTGCGTTTACGTACTAATGCCCGTTTCCACTAATGTAGATCAACTTTAATCTCGGTTTAACTTACTCTTCGTCTAGTTCGTCTTACTTTTTTTCTAGTTCTAAAGAATAGTTGATTAAAGTTAATCTACATTAGTGGAAATGGGCATAAGTGAAATATTTGTCTTAAATTATTGGATTATTTAATTTTCCATCGAAAAGGATCTCAAGCGGAGATCGAAATGTCTGTCAAATTAGCGTTGATCAATTGAATAAAGTAATTTTATACACATGAACATCCAGTGTTTTGGCTCTTAAGGCATCTTTATGTAATTGATTTATTTCACTACCTTGGTGAAAATTTTTCTCAGAATTTTTCATATAATTTTTCAGAATTTCTATATAATTTTATACCTTTCTTACATTTATTTATATGAATTGGAATATTTCTCAGAAAATCTACATCTTATTTCAGAATTTTTCATATATGTTAATTATAAAATATCGTAAGATTTTTAAGATTTTTTGTAAGTATAATTTCTGACGAAATGTTATAAAATCTAAAAAATTAAAAAATATTTTTTTTAATTATGGTGTGGAAATGTCCACTAAGAAGGCCTGACTCGAAGCTTTGTGGTCGGCCGCAGCGTTTCGTCCTGGTCCCACACTACTAGACTCATCAGTAAGGCGGTGTAGTGTGGGACTTGCCTTAGACACCTGGAATGAATCCAGAATGATATTCTATTTAAAGGGAATTCGCGCGGCGCGGTGCTTACGCGAATCGAGTGAGTCCCGTGGACCTCTAGTGGCGAGTCGCCACAATGGGATGAGAAATTTCAGAAATTTCCGAATTTACTTGTATGAAAAATTCTGAAAGAAGATGTAAACTTTCCGAACATTTCTGAGTATTTCTGAAAAATGTTCCAATTCGTATAAAAATTATGTTAAAAATTTTCACCAGGGTAGAGCCTCAAATTCTTAATAATTTGCTATGTATATAGCAATGATCTTTTTTACCTGAAAATCTTGGTATAAAAATTTTTCTTGTACTTCGATAAAAGATGTCGCTACAATAACAGCAGTATCTTTTCCTCGTAATTGCTTTGGATTTATCCCTGCATCGATAATTGCTTCATAAGAATGCTCCAATAACATTCTCGCTTCGCATGTGAGTGTGTGTGCATGTTCAAAAGATAATCCAAAAAAATCCGCATCAAATTTTTCCATGTTGTTAATTATTCCAATACGTTTTGGTAATTCCGGATTGTCTAATAAAACATAGATATATTCATACAAATATATTATTGTATTTCTTGTTCATTTTTTTATCATTTAAATTTTGGAGTACATTATCTTTGATTAAAATTCTATAGGTTGTCAAATAAATTCCGAATCACGCTTCAGTTTTTTTTGTACAAAAACGATTTTTACATACAAATTTATTTAAAAACAACAATTATTCCTAAAAATAAAGACATGTTTAATAATTTTTTACTAGCAGCCCGCTAGCTGTAAGATTTGGATGGCACCCAGTTGGACACGGCTCAATTAGACACGAGCCACTCACAGCGCTTGAGACTACAAAGCTCCTAGGCACCTGGTCGCTGTGATTGGTGGTGTCCAATCGAGCCGTGATCAATCGGGATCACCCCGTAGGATTCGATATTGAATACATTCAGATTTTTGAGACGTAAAAAACTTAGAAGTATACCCAGATAGCAAAATGTCTGCAGTCTTCTAGCAGACTGTTAGCAGGTTTGAGCAGAAAATGACGGCAGTCTGCTATCAACTGCGTCCGCATTAGGCTTGTGTTCTGTTAACATCGCCTGTCGATATAATGTGAAGGCAAATTGTTGGCAGAAACTGAGCAGATCCTGCCGACACACAATGGGGACAAATGGAAATTTACTGTTTAAAAATCGCTACAGACCGTAATTCTTACTTGATCGAGACGTTTTTTTTTTATATTAATCGTTAATAAATGTCAAAGAAAACTATGGAGTTGGATTTTTAAAAAAGGTCCCATGAAATGTGCAATATTAATAATTATCTGAAAATTACTGTTAACCAGAAGTGAATTATTTGAATTAAAGTTATTGTTTGGACTAAATTCAATAAAAACTCAGTGCGCTAATTCCTTTCAAATCGTCATAGCATTTTCAGAAGCATATAAATCGTTATGTTAAATCCTTGTGCTCATTGTCGAGTTAATTTCAACGCTTATTTCGGTCGACAGCTACTCTGTTCAAAACACGCTTATTATCGGTACCGACGCGGTCAGAATTCGAGATAGTGTCTATTTATCAGCTGTTTACTTCGCGTCACATATATGTATACATTTGCAACCTTTCTTTTTTTTCTCGTGAAGCGAAGGTTACCTCTCGGTACCTGTGTATATCTATCGCTTAACGACGACGTTCAGTTGTTCTCGAATAAAGCTCAGCAGCACATCGCGTTATATATATTGCTCCAAGTCTCTATTCTTTCAACACTTTCTGACTCCTCGTTATAATTTCGACATCACCAATGGACCTGGTTTTCTGGTACCATTTCCTTTCGCGATACTCACAACATTGCTGGTCCTTCGAGCCGGATTATCGGAGTTCACGAATTTCGTTGTCAGAGGTGTTGTATTAGCATATCGGTGCTTGCTGAGCCGCTCTCGCTCTAACGCGATTCTCTCGCTCTAACGCGATTCTTTCGCTCTAACGCGATTCTCTTGCTCTAGCGCGATTCGCTCCCGCTCAGTCGTATCAGACAAACTCTACTTGCGGTGTTCGTTTACTCTGAACGTTCGCGCGTGCAAGTGAGATTTGCCACGTCGACCATCAAGGTCGTGAACGTTTGTGAAGTGCGTACCTCTCAAGTGTTTCTCAGTATTCTCGAAAATGGCCACTGTGACCGACGTCATTGCTCGACAGAACGATCTCTTCGGACTCATTTCTCGTTCTATCGGCAATCTCAACAAGCTTGAATCTCCACGGATTACTCGCGGCGCGGTCCAAAGTAAGGTAAACTCGACGTCGAATCATTGAAGGAATGGGAAACAACTCTCGGTGCGAAATCTACGTCCCCATCCTTCGGTGATCTAGAGCAGTTCCTGGTTGGACGCGTGCAAACTCTGGAATCTATCGAACGAGTCATAATGCTATTTAAACAACCAGCTTCAAATTTCACGTCGGTACGTCCGCAGTTAAATGTAAGAGCATACGCCACTACCGCTGCAGTATCACAGTGTGCAGTGTGTAGCTCGGGACATTATATCGCGTCGTGTCCGAAGTACCTCGAGAAGACTGTGAATCAACGACGAGAGGTTGTTGTTGCAAAAAATCTGCGTTTTAATTGTCTCGGACCTCATCACCTCAAGGCATGTCGCACTTTGAAACGCTGTCGGTTTTGTCGCAAGCAACATCATTCAACGTTGCGCGTAGCTATCGTCGAATCCGACGCCTCGACACCGTCCACTACGACAGCTACCGGTCCTACCACGGGCATCTCTGAAGCATCTCAAACCAACGGACAAACCTGCGCTCCTCACACGTACAGTAACATTGCACATTTACGCGTAATTAGACGCACACCAGTGCTCCTCGCGACCGCTCTAGTTACGGCTATCTCTCGAGCTTGAGAACAATTCCAGTTAAAGGGGACTTCCCGATCATTACTCGATCAAAGATCTGAAACTTCGTTTATCTCCGAGTCCGCCGCGCAGCTTCTCAAGTTATCACGTAAACCCGCGTCCGTCGCGATTCTCGGAATCGGCGCACAACTTTTCGACGTCTCAAACGGAAGGGTCTCTCTCGAAATTATCTCGCGGATCAATTCGGCATTCTCTATCAAACTGGAAGTTCTTGTGCTGCCGAAACTCACCGTTTACTTGCCACCCACGAAGATTGCATCCACTCACTGGCCACACATCGACGGACTCCGCTTTGTGGACCGAATGCCAGGAAAAATTGATTTAGTTCTCAGTGCAAGTGTCTACGCGTAAATTCTCGAAAGTGGCATTCGCCGCGGCAACGGCGAATCACCGATCGCGCAAAAGACCGCCCTCGAATGGATATTATTCGGGCAACTCTCCAACAATAACAATCATCTCTCGCAAGAATCAATCAACGGATTTCAGTGTTCTTTTGATTGTGAACTTCTCGATCTACTACAACGGTTTTGGCATCAAGAAGAAATCATGCCGTCGCCTAATGCACCGGAAGAAGCTCAGTGTGAACACCACTTCAAAACGACTCACTCTCGTGACGCTCATGACGGTTCGTAGTTTAATTTAATTTAATCTAGTTTATTACAAAGCTATATGAAAAGACTACATATTAAGTATTAGATATGACACGTGATACAACAGAATATAGTTAACGAAAAACATATAAATGCAATAGACGAAAAGTAGCTTGCAAAATGGTTAGACACCAGCAGAATTACTGTTACAAAGCCTACCCCAGTAACAAAACTATAATAAGACAATAATTCAATAAGAATTAAATCATACATACGCACACACACATTCTCTCTTTCTCTCTCTCTCTCTCACACCCACACACACGCTCACACACGCTCATACACCCGCAAACACACCAATTACATCAGTCTCGTTTAAATACCGTGAGTGACGCGATGAAACGCGAGGCAGCAGAACGGAAAGAAGAAAGAGAGGTAGAAGTTTTTATTGAATCAGGAAGGGAATTAAAATATTTAACAGAGATGTAGGAGAAAGCAGCACGGAATTTAGAGGACCGATGTATGGTTAAGGATAAGCAATCTTGGTATCAGGTGAGAGTTGAAAGAGAAATGATGTTCTAAGTTAAAGCGAAGGAGACGTCGCAGATATAGAGGAGTATTGCAGCGAAGGAGAGAAAATACAAGACAGCAAAAGTGGAGAATAAAACGTTGCCAAATTTTAAGCCAGCCAGATATCTGGTAATATGGAGATATATGCTCGTATTTATGGACACTATAGGAGAAGCGGAGACAAGAATTTTGGATACGCTGTACACGATTTAGCAGATGCTGATTAAGAGCCGGAATGTAGACGACATTAGCGTAATCAAATAGAGAAATAATAAGTAATTGAGAAGCGAGAAGTTTTTGAGAGCACAGGAAAGGATGTGGCGGAGGGGATAAAGAAGACGTAGACGAGCATAAGCAGCTCGACACTTGGCGGTCACATGTGACTCAAAAGACCATGAAGAGTCAATTCGACACCCAGAATCTTAATAGAAGAGGAACGAGGAATTGGAATAGAATTAAGAGAAGTATCGAAGGACTGAATACGGGATAACAATGTTGAGGAACCAACGATCAGCAAGGATGATTTAGAAGGATTAAATGCAGAGCATTATTAGCGGACCATTCAGCAATAGATCTCAAGTCTGAATTCAAAGCAGAACAAGTTGCTAAAGCATCAAATGGGTGAAAGGATCTGAGAAGAATTACATCATCTGCATACATAAAGAGCTCGGAGGACAGAGAAATATTAGACAAATCAGATACAAAATTATTAAAGAGTAAGAGTCCGAGAATGGAACTCTGAGGAACCCCAGAGAGAACAGCACGAGTAGAGGAAAAAAGAGGAAAAGAATTATACCAGGTGTACAAGTATGAAGTGCGGATTTGAGACAACAGATGGTACACCAATGCAGTGTGTAGTGTAAAGACGTATATGCCATTTTGTTGTGTCATCAACAAGTGTCAAACGCGCATAAGTGATAAATTGAAAAAGTGTTTGCATAGTATTGTTTTGCTGTGTTCAATGTGGTCCTGCCAAGCGCTATCATTGTCACTGTTAACTTTAAATGAAATGCATGTTTTGGCCGAATGTATTTTATTACTTAAAGTACTATATACTTTGTATTTTTCGATACTTGTTTATTTATTTGTTAAATATTTGTTTATATTCACCTATTTATTTATTTTTTTAATTTTGATTTTTTATATTCTTTTGTGTTTCGTATTTTTTGTATTTCTTTTCTATTTTGTATTTTTTTAATCTATCGCTAAACTGGAAAAGATAGCGTTTTATAGTGTTATTAAAAGATGTTATAGTCAAAGATATTATACAGTTATTCTTTTTTTAATAAATTTTCTGCTTCAGAATCAATCCTTTATCCAAAGCCTTTATCTTTTTTATCTACAGTCTCCTATGGAAAGTTGTTGAATGGATCAGAAGAAATTAGAAGTCTGTGCATAATATCTTTGTTTAGTAAACAAGAACATTTTTTTGTATTGTAAAGACGGAAATGTTTGAAATATTTATTCTGAGCTTCTGCAGCTTCCTCCGATAACTGTCTATCCAGACAGCACACAATATTTATAAAATATTTACAAAATGTTTATAAATATTTATAAGGCTTATTTTAAATATTTTTTAAATATTTTTGTGGCCTCAAATTGCATAGATTATAAACATTTATTATAGATGTTATGAAATATTTATTGTATATTATATTGTTTTAGTACAATAAATCTTGTACTAAATACTGAATATGAACAAATAAATAAATAAATACCAAAAAAAGGTACATAGTATTTCAAGTAACAGAATATGTTCGGCCAAAATATTAATTTTATTTAAAGTTAACAGTGAGATTGATTAAACATCTGTCAATAGTCATATCTTAATTCTAACATCACATTTGCATTCTGTGAGTCCGCTAAAATCCTTATGTACTATAGTTTAGTGCAATAGCAACTTTAGTTCAAATTAATTATTTCTGGTTACACAACAGTACAATTTTCAGATAATTATTAATATTGCATCATTAATATCACATTTCATGGGACCTTTTTTAAAAATCCAACTTAATAGTTTTCTTTGACATTTATTAACAATTAATTTTAAAAAAAAAAACGTCTCGATCGGTTAAGAATTACGGTCTGTAGCGATTTTTGAACAGTAAATTCCTATTTGTCCCCACTGTGCGACATTATGTGATGCTTGCAGATTCTGTTACGTCTTTTCTAGCAGTCTGTCAATAATATTATGTACATCTAATTCTGTTATTATTTTGTTGACATAGTGTGTAGCAAACATTAAAAAAATCTGGTTTCTACAGATTTGGCTATTTGGCTATTTAGCTTTCTCAACTTGTTCAACTTTTTTAATCATCACTCTGAATAAATATTTTCATTAAGCAAAATAGGTCGTAATCAAACGATGCAAAATCAATACTGAATGCCGGGTACGAGTTCAAGGACTTTGATGTCGTTTAGAATTTAAAACAATGGATTGATTATAATGATGTTTACTTGAAATATCGGTTCTTAATAAATTTATATGTAAAAAGAATAATTCAAAACATTTTGACGACATATTAAATATGTAATTACATATTGACATGCAAAAGGAGTGGCATATTCTGTCTATCAGCGTTAAGAATTAAGTAATGCGTTATTTTTGTATAATATCTTTATCGGTATAAAGTAAATGTCCTAATAATCGAACTGTTATATTTGAGCTCTTTTTATGTCATGCATGACGATACGCAGTAAATTTGGTACGGCGGCATTTGACACAAGGCATACATATACTTATAGGCTAACACGTATTTGTCATCGGCAACAACAAAAAAAACGGATCACGGCGTCGTACTGTCGCGAAGGGGTTTCACGTGCGTTCATGCTTGCTAGCAGCGTGATCCGCGAACGACCAATTAGGATCTGTTTTCGGCTGGGGGTGCGATCCCTACCATCGCGTCGTGATTGTTACACCGGTATTCGTCGCTTTATCATCTCGCGACCGTGGTAGAATTCACTTCGGAATCATTTCTCGATGTAGCCGTGTCTTTCGAGCCGATCGCGACTCAAGAGATATTCTCTTTAAGCATTGTCGTGAGTTTCCGTACCAGGCTTGCTAAATATATGGGCAACAGCCCTTAAATATCTGGGCAACAGCCTTTGAACGTTTTCACTGATCGACTCAGGGCATTAGCCCCTAGGCGTCGTCGATATCAGTAAAACGAAATTTATACGAACGAACGATACTCGTCGTGACATAGTGCGTGTCGATAATACGAACGATATTCGTCGTAACACTTTGCGGCATATTAATGCGAACATTTCATTGTGATGCGTGACAAAGAAATTTGTGAAAAACAATAAAAACGAAAAGATAGTGCAAATTCATTAACATTGTATTGCATTAATTTCAAACGAATACGAACGTTTAAGCGTAGATTGTCATAAATAATATAATTTATACAATAATATCAGAAAGGTTTTTAATATAAATATTTGTATTTAATATAAATATTCGTTTGAAAACTCAAGACACCTTTAAGCAAGGAAAAATTATTTGAACCCACTTATAACAATTATTAATTAAAATATTTAAATAAATAATATAGAATGCGTCAATGTAGCCGGACATAATTGTCCGACCACAATTAGAAAATTAGTATGCTGACGAGAAATATTAATATAAATAGATGTTTAATGACAAAAGACAACTAATTTAAATTAATCTTGAAAGTAAAAAGCATTTGAGACTAATATTAATTTAAATAAAATTTTGTATATAACTGTCCGGACATAGGTATTGTCCGGTCCCAGTACCTATGTCCAGACATTTACACAACACTTTATTTATTTAAGTTAATATTAGTCGCACACACACACACACACACACACACACACACACACACACACACACACACAAATACGCTTTTTAAAACGTAATATTATAATTTAACATATTATAATTTAATTATAATCTTCAAATGCAAATGAATTGTAATATAGTAATAAAAAAAAGCATTTGAGATTAATAATAATAAATTTTGTGTAAGTGTCCGGACATAGATACATGTCCGTTCACTGGGATGTTTATCTTAATTACTTTTTTTTTTAGTAATAAATGTACATTTCCTTATTCGTAACGTCAATGGTAATATAAATACATTTTTGGGATAACGGTGACGAATATAATCGTTATTTTTATCGTTTTGTCATATAGGTATATGACATGTGTATAAAAAGTGCATAAGTTTTTTGATAATGTTCTGATTAACCATTACACTATAGATCAAACCTGAAGCCGAGTTGCACATTTTGATCGATTTTGCCTATCTTCATATCTACTCTTTTTGTTTCATAGTATTTAGACTGCAGATATATAGAACGATCGAGTTCGAGGATATTAGCTGTGAAGCTGAAAATACATGGCACTATAGAGCTATAGGACTTTGTAATATATTGGTCGCAGACTCAACTGCTGCAGAGTGAATTCGTGAGCGTTTGTTGCTACTGTTGTATTCTTCTAGATAATCCACAGTTCGAATCTGCAAACATTGTCCCGCGTTCACTGTTTACAGTTTTATTATTATTATTAATATTATTTGAATGTTAGAAAATCAAAAGTAGCACTTCAAAATATATTTAAAAATATATATTTATATGTATATATTTTATATATACAGGGTGATTTTTTAACCTGAAACTTTCAAATAGCTCGAAAAATAAGCACACTAAGAATAAATGTTAAGAATCAATATTTCATCATTCCGAGGGTGACATACACTGACGTTAAAATCAGCCCCCCCACCTCGCCCCCTGGGCGGTGGGGCAAGTTTGAAATCTTAAATGGGAACTCTATTTTTTATTGCATATTCGGAATCTTTGGCTAAAAGCACATAAGATTTGTCTGAAACATTTGTCTCGATTCATGATAGATGGCGCTGTAATCGACGAAATTCAATTTCTTCGATTTCTCTTACTGAGAACCCATGCTTACGATTCTGCAATAAAAATACCACGTTTTCATTGTTAATACTCGAAATTAATCTTAAAACTTCTCATTATTTTTAATTACTCATTAATTACTTCTCAAGAAACTACTTTTAGCGTAACCCAGGAACAACGACGTGGACGTAGCAGTTTTCTGTTCCCTTTTTAAAATTTTTTAAATTAGACTGATTTATTGCAGATATCTAGATACCTAGATTTATCTGCAAATGTCGAATTAGAGAATATAGAAACCAATTTATCAAAAAACTTTAAGAATATAATTAATTATCCCGAAAATAAGGACGCTCACCACGATTACAAAGCACCACATCACAAACATTACCATGAATAATTCAAAAACTGGCTCCTGACACGACGGCCAGTCGGTATCAGACACAGTGAGTCACTTTCCAGTTATCAGCTAGTATTTTTCGAAATAACAAATGGAAAAATCCAACACTAAAACGTTAGTCAATTCCAAGAAAATGAAATTGCAAAGTGATCAAAAATCTTGTCAGAAGGACCTACCACTGTGTACG